TATTGTTAGAAAACTGGATCAAAGACTGCTGCTTGATTCCAATCAACGGCGCTCTCTGATCATCACATTGGTGTGCTGAGTCGTCCCTGCTCGCATGAAAACCCCCCAGGCAGGTGCCCTCCCAAAGGCCCCCAAACATCCCCAACATCCCCAGTGATGTCACCACTGTCCCTGGGATGTCACTGATGTCCCTATGATGTCACGAAATCCCTGTGATGTCACCGGTCTCCTATGATGTCACTGCTTTTCTCTCTGATGTCACCAATGTCCCCAGTGATGTCACCACTGTCCCTATGAGGTCACCACTGTCCCTTTGGTGTCATTGATGTCCCTGTGATGTCACTGGTGTCCCAATGGGTATCACCACTGTGCCCTGTGATGTCACTGTGGTCCCTAAAGTGGTCCCTCTTTCCCCTATGATGTCATCAGTTCCCTATGATGTCACTGGTCCCCAATGATTTCACCCATGTCCCTGTGATGTCACCAGTGCCCTGTGATGTCACTGGTCTCCAGTGATGTCACTGCCGTCCTCACGGGTGTCACCACTGTCCCCAGGGGTGGTCCCTGTGTCCCCAATGATGTCACTGGTGTCTCTGTGATATCACCTTCTTCTTTTTGAAGTCACCGCTGTCCCAAATGATGTCACCAATGTCCACGTTATATCACGGCTGTCCCTTTGTTGTCACAATTCCCCTGTGATGTTACTGGTCCCAAGTGATGTCACTGCTATCCCAGTGGTGTCACCACTGTCCCTGGTGATGTAACTAGTCTCTCTGTGATTTCACCGATGTCCCTGTGATGTCACTGCTCTCCCTGTGATGTCACAACTGTCCCCAACAGTGGCACCATGTCCCCAATGATGTCACCGATGTCACTGTGATATCACAGCTATCCCTTTGTTGTCACTATTCCCCTTTGATGTCACTAGTCCCCAGGGATGTCATGAATGTTCCTATGATGCCACCAGTGTCACCAATGATGTCACTGATGCCTCTGTGATGTCACCCTTGTCCTTATGAAGTCACCGTTGTCCCAAAGGATGTCACTGATGTCCACGTTATATCATGGCCGTCTCTTAGTTGTCACCAGTCCCCTGTGAATTCACTGGTTCCCAATGATGTCACCGATGTCCCTGTGATGACACCTCTGTCCTCTGTATTGTCACCCCCATCCCCTCTGATGTCACCAATAGCCTTGTGACATCACGACTGTCCCTTTGTGGTCATCAGTCCCCTGTGATGTTGATGGTCCCCAATGATGTCACTGCTGTCCCTGTGATGTCACCAATGTCCCTGATGATGTCACTGATGTCTCTGTGATGATACCCCAGTCATTATGAAGTCACCGATGTCCCCTCTGATGTCATTGATTTCCCTGTTACACCACGGCTGTCCCTTTGTTTTCACCAGTCACCTTTTGTGTTACTGTTCCTCAATGGTGTAACCTCTATCCCTGTGATGTCACCACTGTCCCCAGTGACTTCAGCAATGTCCCCGATGATGTCACTTTTGTCTCTATAATGTCAGCCCTGTGCTTGTGCAGTCACCGGTGTCCCTGTGACATCACGGCTGTCCCTTTTTTGTCAGCAGTCCCCTGTGATGTCACTGGTCCTCAGTGATGTCACCCATCTCCCTTTGATGTCACCACTGTCCTCTGTGATGTCAGCAATGTCCCTGTGACATCACAGCTGTCCCTTTGTTGTCAACAGTCCCCTGTGACATCGTTGTCCCCAGTGATGTCACTGCTGTCTCTGTGATGTCACTAATGTCCCCAGAGGTGGCACCATGTCCCCGTGAGGTCACTGATGTCCCTGTGATGTCACGAGATGCCTTTGACTTCACTGATATCTCTGGGACATCATAGGTGTCCCTTTGTTGTCACCAGTCCCCTGTTGTCGTGGTCTTGCCCACCAGCCAGCCCCTGGGGCTGAGGATGGTTTTGTCTGGGTGAATTTCCAGAGAAAAAAGCCAATCAAAACTTTAGTAACCCCTTTGCTAATTACATATTTAAGAAAATGGAAGAGAAGGTTGGTGGCGCAGTTGAAATTAGGAGCAGTTGAAATTGGTGGCAGTTGAAATTAGGGAGCCATGTAGGGAGAGAGAGGCAGGCCCCAGGTGGGGGCCAGGCCTCCCTCCTCCCCCGGCCCTGGGCCAGGGGCAGGTGTGGCACTGAAGCCCCTTCTCTCTT